GACATAGTGAAAAGGGCCTCAACTATTTTGTTTTTGAATGACAGGTGGAAAACCCTCAGTTCTGAGTCTGGGACGCCTTTGAGACATGAAGCAAAAAACAATGTCAGCAGGCACTGGATGCCTAGAATTCATATAAGGCATGTGGGTAGAGAAGACAAAATGTTGGAAGCCAGTTAGCCTATTATGATACAGCATAGGGAGAGAGAAGAATAATGAGGAAAAAAGCCAGAATCAAATGTGAGACTGGGCAAGTTAAAAATGAAGGAGACTACAGAAGACTGTTCTGAAAGGAAGGCAGAGATGGAGAGGAAAAATTGAGAGTGGTGTTATTGAAGTAGAAGAGAAAAAAAGATGACTTGAAAGAGTATCAAATATTGCTGGGGGAAGATTTCCTAGAACTAGGTAAGGATGGGGGCTGCTGGTGACTTGAACAAGGCCCAGTTCAGGCAAAATGGTAGAAGTCATAACACAGAGACTTCAGGAGTGAAAGGTAAATATGACCAGAGTTATAAGCAATCATACACTCAACTAGGTACAGTTGTGAAAGGAAGGTTATGAGAGTGTAACTGAATAAATTCAAAGCAAGATTCCTTGGTGTACCTCAAATGTAAGACTACTGAATTTGTTTAAGTGAACTGAACACATCTAAGGAGACACATCTAAGGAGAAAAATACTGTACTACCTCAGAAACCAAACTAAACAGTACATATCTCCACAGTCCAATACAGTTAACAAGTCACATTTGTTACTGAGTTCATGGAAACTGATGTGCTCACGAGCACAGATGCACTAGTGGTAGGTATAAAAAAATATGCCAGCTTTCAAAGACTGAAAAAAAAGTGAAGCATTTCATTAATTTTTTAGTGATAATTACATCTGCAGTGAAAGTTTTAGATACATAATATTCAAAATAATTTTATGTATTTCTGTTTTAATGTGACTAATAGAAAAATTCTGGCTATATTTGTGGTTCACGTTATATTCTATTAGACAATGTTTTTGGTGGTAAAAAGGCAGAATCATAAGGAGTGGCAGTCTGAACTCTTGTTGGAGTCTTCAGTCTATTTGTGCCCTATGTAGTTTCCAACTTCTTCCCAAACTCATCAATCCTCATCCAAATCCCTTACCATAGCTGAATCTGTTTTAACCATTCCCCTTCCCCTCATTTTCTCCAGTTCTCAGATGGCTAGGGTTCTCATGGGTCCTGTAAATCTTCATCTATCTGAACTCAACCTCACCCTACCAATGCAGCCATCTACCTGCAAAAAAGTTCCAAAGGACTCAAATATGACTACTGTTAGAAACCAGAGTTGAAGGAACTAATTCATACTAATGCAACAAAGAACTGTCACAGACTTTTTAGAATGCTTAACCAAGATGAACACCTAACTTTTGAATGCTCAGAAAAAACACAGTGAAAAATTTAAAGCAAAGAAATCTCTGGACCCAAGGATGTTGTAAACATGTAATACGTTGCTTACGCAGCAACATACACTGAATGGTTTTCACTTTTCAAACTTCCCCTCCTTCTAATTAGAAATCCCCATGTTCTCTATCATTTCCAAGTTATTCATAATGGTTTTAAGACAGCATGAGCACAGGTTCCAGTGAAAATGAAATAACAAAGGCATTAGCTGATGACAGTATTTGTATGTTTACATGTGAAATTATTGATAGTATTTTTTCCAACTTCTGTATCTAAAACAGTGTTGCTTTCCACCCCTTACTCTGCTTTTACTTTGATGAACCAACCTACTAGACCAGTATCCTGCACTCCAAACCTACACACACACACACACACACACACACACACACAGAGCTTTGGTATCCTGCTTGGAAAAACTGTTGCTTTCCATATATTTATCTGAAAACTGAAATCCCCCCCCCAGCTGTGTTTATTTAAAATTAAAAAGAAAAATTCCTTAGCTCAAATATCCATGGTTTTACAGTTTGGGAATATAAACTAGTGATGAAATCACCTGGAGGTCAAGCCAAAGAAATACCTTAGATTTCCGGATCATTTTGCTTTCTGAAAGATACCAGTCTTCCCTACTTCACAAAATCTTTCATGGTATCTTTATTTCCTTGGAAATCTTTATGCTTTCTTTCTTGGTTTAGCCACAGCAAACTTTAAAAAAGCTGCAACCCCCATGCATATAACGAAAGCTGTAACAAATTGAGATTACAGTTGGTTGGCCAGAGGTTGTCATATCTGATGTTAAGACAAAGCATTGGAAGTCATGGTAGTTATTCCTCTCAAGGGACATCCTTCTACTCCGAAGCAGAAATGGAGAATCTAAAACATGTTTTCTTAAGTTCTATTATTTTTCAAACCACTTACAATTTTGTGTTTGCCCCACTGCATAACTTAATGAATGTATAGAATGAAACCTATCTCTTGAGTACATCTCACAAAACTGATCTTACTATAGTATTCTCCAGTCTCCCTATATCTCTATTCTAAATAGGGGGAACCCTGGTATTAATTTCTTCTTACTGCCCTTATCCAAATCACCAGCAACAACTTTACCTTTGAAACATACCCAACTATCTGACATCGATCTCAATGTATCAATGTTAGTCATTGACATCTTAACTGAATCTATACCACAGGCTTCTAACACCAGCCTCCTCCCTTAGATATTCTTCATACCACAATCAAAGTGGTATTCTTTTAAAAAAAGATTTATTTATGCATACAAGAGCTGAGGTACAGGCCAGAGGTGTGGAGGAGGGGAAAGGATTCACCAGAAACAGAATGGGGAGCAGAACAGGCAGATCTACTGAAATACACTGCTGAGAGGAGACACAGGTCTGCTGAGTCATGTGGGTTACCTCCTCCATCAGAGATCATGCTGCAGTGACTGTGGATAGCTTCTTAGTGCTGTGGCTTAACCCACTGCACCACCAAGGAGGCCCTAATCACCTTTTTTCCTTTGGCCATTAAGGACCTGAATAACAGAACTATAAAGAACTCATTACACTATCTGTTACAAAATGAAACTCTGAACCTAACATTTTACATACTCCATTCACCTAATACAGGAATTAAGGGATCTAAAATTAAAGTCCCAGAGTTTGACAACTGAGTTTCTGTAGGGCTAATATGAGATTAAAATAATTGTACTAACCATTGTTTTGTATGCAATATAGGCTTTTATGTGCAACTTTTCCTAAGGAAGGTTTTGAAAGAGTAAATTGAAACAGTCACTGACTTCAACTAACCTACAGCTAGTACAGGTGTTCTATTTTGGACACAGTAAACCAACCATAAAAATGTCAAATCAAACCCCCAACCCTGAAGTTTTGGAGAACTCCAAGTGCTTTCATTATTGATTAGCTTTAACTTAAATAAAAAGTCCCAAATTCAATTTAAAAAAGCTTTCAAAAACTTAGGAGCAATTATTGTTTTACTGCTCAATTTGGTGAAATGTCAAAGATTTTGAGTTTTTAGTATTTATTTATGCATAAAAGAACTGGGGCACAGGTCAGAGGTGCAGGGGGTAAGAAGATTCATTAGAGAAAGAGTGGGGAGCATAACAGGCAGATGTACTGAAACACACTGCTGAGAGGAGCATGGAGTGAGGGCCAGGGGGCTAGGTCCTCCCTGGCCAGGAATTGAACTCGTGCTGCAGTGGCTAAGGATAGCTTCACAGTGCTTGTTTTAACCCCTTGCACCACCAGGGAAGGCCTGATTTTAAGTTTAAAATGAAACAAAATTGAGAGAAACTACCAGCCTATGAGTAGATGTTTTAAACATTATCTTCTGATATGACAAAATAACACAAAGGAGTAACAGCAATAGTATTAGCTAAAGTTAAATGTTGTGAGGCTATTAAAAAATCAATAAGCTGAAAGAGCCGGGATCTCTGTAGTTCCTTCAAACTTTATGAGTGTTACGTTATCAAACACTGGGACAAGCACAGTCTTGTATGAAACAATTGTATGATATCTAGTAATCTTATCAAAAAGAAATTACATACTTTCTGTATATAAACTTTTCCACACTATGATTACTTCTCCCTGTAAGGTAGCAAGTCTTTACAGTCACAAAATTTCATCCATGTAGTAATTATACACATAAAAGGCAGACTACAGAATTCCGAATCATAAAAGTTAAATATTAATCAAATCTTAAAAGAAACGGTGTTATCTCAAAATGATTTTGAATTATCAATAAAATTCTTATATACCCTCCCAAGTAAATAAAATTACAGAAACGAAGAGTTTATAGGAGTGGCTTTCTATTCACAAACTATGACTACTTATTAAGAAGCCCAACTGTTTTCTGACATCCTCCAGAGAAGAAACAAATTTCCTTGTTTTTTCTCTCTTTTAAGATACTGCAATTCCCACTTCCATCCCAATTTTCTTATATGGTCCTTTACCAAAAGGTTCATATTATAAAAGAGGGATTTATGCCATTATCAGGTACAGCCTGACCCAAGATTTAAGATTTCCAAAATCCTTTCCATATTAAAGATTGCAGGAATTGAGTTTTAATAATTCATAGACCACAAAACACACCCTGTTAAGATTTCCCCTACAAATACTAACATGCCTACTCTTGGGACCCCTAATGGGTGTCCAGAAATCACATAATTCAACCTTTCAACAGGACACAGATGGTAAGTGCTCCCCTTTCTTGCCCGAGAGAAGTGCTCCTGCACGTACCCATCTTGAGGACCACAGCACGACTGTCATTTGGAAGTATGGTAATAGGTAAACGTGTGTGAGAGCAGAGTATGCTAGGTATGTTCACTGGATGGGGAAGGTTGTTAAATGCAGCCTCTCACGTAACTAGCCTTACCCACTGCAAACTTTTAAGAGATTAAGTTACATTCCTCTGCAGTTCCACCCTTGACAGCTGAGTCCTGAGATGCCAGTGAGCCCGGCACGTCCATTCCCGCCACCTCGCCTGTGCAGAGCCTGCGGCCACATCGCGAACCAAGGGTTGGGGAAGAGGGAGGGCCGGCGAGAGAGGGTCAGGCGATCTCACCTTTTCTAGTTCGTCGTGGAGCTCTGCCAGACTGGGCCGGAGCAGCTTCTCGCCCAGCTGAGCTACTGTGTGCCGGTAGTGGTCGATCCTGGGCACAGCGTCCATGGTGTTGTGGCCGAAGGTGCGCAGGTAGTAGGTGTTGGTATGGGTGTCATAGTAGTGGTGCTGGTGGTGGCCACTGCCGCCGCCCGAGTGCAGGCTGCTGCCCTCGCTCAGCACTGTGTCCCCTCCGTTCTGGAAGCTCACGTTGGGCCCGTCGCCCGCGACCACCGCCGCATCGGACAGACTCTCCTCGGCGGACGAGGATGCAGCCGGGTCCACGAAGTTCACGCGGAAACGGCCCTTGGCTTCCTCACTGCCCTTGGCCAGCCCGCTTTCGCCGCTAGCTTTCCCTTCCGCTGGGGTCTCCTTGGCCCCCGCTCCGGCACCAGCCGCCGCCGCCGCAGCTGCCGCCGCCGCCGCCCGCCCAGCGTTCTCAGAAACCAGGTCCACCTGGAAGCGGCTCTGGCTGGGGGTGGGCCCCAGGGGTCTGCCCAGCCCGTCCCCGGCCG